TTTATTGAACTTAATGACTTGTGGGGAACTGGATGGACACTGGACTGCTGTCTACCACGGAACCCTTTCCTATTACACTATTTTAAGGTGTGTGAGACAGATACCTCTGTGGCAAGTTCGTTCATTCCATGGGGGTGTGGGGAGATGTCTTAGAAGCCGCTGTTGGAAGTTTTCTGAGCTTTTGGCTCCATTTAGGGAGCAGAAGGGGTATTGAGCTTGGATTTAAGGAGCTGTGCTCCTGGACCTGCTTAAGACTTTGGAAAAAGGAGTGTTTGGTGGGACACTTCTCTCCCAGGGCAAGGTGGCTGAGGACTTCTTGATTCTTGGGATTGTGAGGAGACCCCCTTCCTGTGATTTGGAGGCCTCTTGGGCTCCGCAAGAGGCCTGGACTGGGGTAATTAGGTCCTCCGTGGGCTGCCATTCAAACTTGTTCCTTTTTCCTGCCTCAGACAAGCATGGGGAGTTTAGTCAGGGCCTGACCTTGGTTGACGGTGGGTGTGAAGGAGCCAGGCACCACCCACCGCAGGCCCCTCTGTCCTCAATGAGGTTGTTTGTGTCTCCCTGGTTAGCAGTCCAGGCGCCCATCATGTTTACCTCCCCACCAGGCGATAACAGTTGGCCTCACCATTAGGCGGCAATGAGGCTGAGCACTGTTTTCCCAGCTGTTCCGCTTTGCAAAGGCCAAGGGGACTTGGGTGGGGGTGCCCCTGGCCCAGCCTGATCGAGGGAGGAAGACTGCTCTTCTGAAGGACTTGGGATAGCCAAATTCCCCACAGATCTGGTTTCCCATTGTGGCTGTTGGGTGGGCGCTTGGAGCAGCCAACTCCAAATGGGAGGCCACTGCCCCTGCTCTCCAGGCCGGTTTGTGACCTTGGCTTGCCTGGTAACCTTTGCCCTGGGTCTGGAGTTCCCAGAGGGCAGGCTGCAGTCCCCGATTGACCCAGGTAATATGGGCTGGTGATGTGGTCAAAAGGGATGGATGATCGCTTCTGGTCACATCATCAGCTTCCAAACTGACTGGCTTCCATGGGTTGTGGTTTCTGGAGAGAGTGGTCGTTGAATCTTTTCTAGGCCCTGGTGGCTCTGTAGACTTTTTCTCCACTAGGGGTTTGTTCCTCTGGTTTCCTTCTGCTAATTTTAGAGGGTTTGCCTGATGAGGATAACAGCAGCAATAAAAACAATAACCATGAGATTGATGGCTGACATTTATTGAGTGCATTCTATGTGCCACACGCTGTTCAAAATGCTTCACATAGATTAACTTGCTGAATACTCACATCCTAGAACTGTAGGTACTGTTGTCATGATCCATTTTAGAAGGAGAAACTGAGTTACAGAGAGGCAAACCATTTCCAGAGCTAGTGAATAGCCAGTGTTTATTGAACATTCACCATATGCCAGGCATGTGACAGGCCTTTTACACACATGATTTTATTTAAATCTCAAAATGACCCTATGGGGTGGGTATTGATTGTGCCTATTTTATAGACTCCTATGAGGTAAGGAGAAGTGTGATGTCCATTTTACAGATGAGGAAACTGAGGCACTTGCTATGGAGTGAAACGATTTGCCCCAGGTCTCACAGTCAGAAGTGGTAGAGCTGGGATGTGAATCCCTGACCCTGTTTGGCCTCTTGTCAGCAAGTAACTGGAACAGTGGTTTATTTGCACTCGGGTGGATATGATGTTTCTGTCCATTTGCAGAGTCAGAAATTGGGGCTCAGGAGGAATTGCCTTGCCCTAGGTCTGTCAGATCTAGGGGGCCAAGCAGGGATTTGAATGCCATGTATTCTTAGCTCACTGGGTCCCAAGCAGGAGTGGGTCTCTGTTACCTCAAAGCCTCTTCCCTGGACCCTGCCAGCTGCATCTGTGGGTATTTCCTCCCCTTCATCTGCAGAGCCTAGGGCTGCTGTGAGCACCTCTGTTGGCAGCCAGTCCAGCAGTCCTGGCTTGCTGGTGGAACTGGGTCCATCCTGAGTTTAGCCAGGGCATCTATTAACCCAGGGTAGAGTGTGTGCTGGGAGCTGGAAGAAGACAGTAAGAGTGATATGCAGGGCGTGACACAGCTACCAGGGTACCTGTGGTAGAGGTCTCTACACAAGGATGGTGTAGTGGGCATGTGTGCAAGTTCTGGCACTTTCACTGTTTGGCTGTGTGACTTTGGGCCACAGTGTTCATCTCTGCAGTGGGCTCAGAACAGCACGCACCTCAGGCTATTGTGAGGATTAAATAAGTTAATTCATGAGAAGTTCTCCAAGAGTGCCTGGCACTGTGTAAATGCTTAGTCAGCAATCCCGAGGGCCTTGCCCACCCCACCCCCCATCCTCTCCCGTATCCTGCTATCCAGCCTTCCAGCTTGGCCCAGCCAGGATCCAGGAATCTGGTATCCTGCTCTCTAACCTCTGTAAAGCGCTACATTCAAGTGATTCAGAGCCTAGAGTTCAGATCCAGCCCTTTCACTTGCTGGTGTGTGACCTTGAGCAGGTTCCTCAACCCCTCTGAGCCCTTTCATCATCTGTGTCATGAGACAATGGTAATTCTCCTGCTAGGCTGTCATGAAGGTTCAGTGGGTTAATTTGTGGAAACCATTTATAACTGGGAAGGCGTAACAGTAGACCTGCAGTAAACATTTTCTGCTCTCTATATTTAAGAAGAGTATGGACACGTGGTGAGCCCTAGGATATCTTAAGAATTGTAATTCTTATTATTTCTGCAAGGATTTTGAAGGCCCTTTTCAGGTTACAGAGCCTTGTCAGATAACACCAGAAGGACATGGCCAAAACCAGCATCTCTGGTTTCCAGATGAGGGTTAGGACTGGGAAGGACATGTAACCAAATAAAAACTGGCAAATGCAGTGCCCAAGGCCCATTTGTCTTTTCACACAGTTGCTACCCAGAGCCCCTTTGAAGTCAAAATTCCAGCTCCTTTCTAGATGTCGGCTTCTGCTAAATCTTCTTTCTTATATGCGTTTTTTTTTTTAAATCTTCACCACAGCCCCCAGGAGTGATGGGAATGGCCTTGACCCAGATGAGGAATAGCCCTTTTGAAGGCTGCAAGGTGGAAGGGTGGGCAGGGAGAGTTGGAGAAGTGCTCATGGATGTGGGCCAGGTTTCCTAGAGCCTGGTGGGCCTGGTCGAGAAGCGTGGATTTGATCCTGAGGCATTGCAGAGCTGAGGAAAGGTTTTTGTTCATTTACCACTATTTATTGAGCACCTATTGCATGCCTGGCATTGCTTCAGGTGTTGAGGATACAGGGGTGTACTGACAAAGGCCCTACCTCCATGGAGCCAGGGAGACAAACCCTAAACTTGGTGAATAAACAAGGGGCAGGTTAAAGGGAGGGGCTAGGCAGTGATTTAAACTCAGGTGTGACTGGTGCTTCTTCAGATGGGCTGTCAGGAAGGCCTCTGAGACTGACAAGGAGACATGAGGAGAAGGAACAGCCTTGGGGTGTGGTGGGGAACCACAGTGCAAAAGTCCCAGGGAAGCTGAGCTTGGTGAGGTGCAGGGGCAGAGTCAATGAGGGAAGGAGTGGGAGGGCAGGCCAGGGGCTGGGTCACTCAGAGCCTGCAGCCAACCCTGAGGAGCATCTTGGTCAGATTTAGGGTATTAGGTGCCTTTTGCCATAAGAGAGGTTCTCAGACTTCTGCCTGGGGCAGGGGTAGATTTTAGAGCTGGTCAGGGAGTTTCACATGCCTCCTACTTCCCCCTTGAGTAGAATCACTGCTGTAGAAACGCTGGAGGCCGATGGCCGCCTCCCTCTGCGGTTTTCACACCGTGTTCCCTAGGGCCCATGGCTGTTCCCTTTAGGGACAGATAGGGGGAGGCTCAGTGGGCTGATTTGCTGCCCACACTTCCCCAACCCAGATAGTTTGGCTAATATTAAGTAACAGTGCAGAGCAACAGTAATACCTGATAAAAACCATACTTGCTGAGTGTACCTTCCATTCAGCTTGTGCCCGAGGGCCTGCACCATTCCTGGCGCTGCTCTAGAACTTGGAATACCAGGCTTTGTGGGCCTACCTTCTAGTGGAGACAGGTACCCAGCAAACAAATCTATGATAGGACATCAATTTGCAATCAATGTTAGGAAAGCAAAGAAAATGGGGGTCAGGGGAAAGAGAGTGTGGGGATATTAGTGTGTTTTGTTTATTTCATTTTTAAAATTTTTTCTGTATTATTTTTGCTTTGATTATATATTTTAGGTAGAATGATCAGGGAGGGCCTCCCTGAGGAGGTGATGTGTAAGTAGGGACTGGAGTGTGGTGAAGGAGCTATGGGAGGACTTGAATGAAGACTTCCTCTGACCAAAAAGGAATCGGCTATGATTCTTACCTCACAGTGGTGAGAACTGAGGACTGGAGAATCTTGGTAACCTGTGCTGGGTCCCCTAACCTGCCATTGTTGGGCCAAGCTCTGAATTTGGGCAGTGTGACCCCAGCCCAGGAAGGCACTTGGTAACCATGTGTAAGGACAGCTAATTCCGCACCTGAGCCTCAAACCTAAGGTTTAGCACAGTGAGGGAGAGCCTTACTGTTGTTTTTCCCAGGCTTGCTCTGGAGTGTCTTCCCAGAAGGAGTAGAGCCTCTCAGCACATTTTTGGGGTCTCCAGAATTTCCTTGGATTGGGAGGATGGAAAAAGAGGGTCCCTGTGGTTCATTTCCAAGCCTCTGGGGGACCCAGGGACACCCCTCCCTGGGCCTCTCTTCAACTTCCCAAGTGAAATGCTTTCAACCACCAGGCCTCTGGGCTGCACGGTGGGGTGGTTCCGTGGCAGGCTCTTCTGGACAGCCAGCCAAGCAGTGAGAGGCCCAGCTCGGGGAGACAGCTCTGGGAGCAGGACCAGGAGGGAGGGAGGGAGGGAGCGGGTGTGGGAGGGGCAGCAGGGTAGGATCTTAGCCTGGCCCCCTTGGGGGCAGGATCCACTGCCAACTCCGCACCCACAGCAAGGCCCAGCTGTGCTGGGTTTGTGGAGCAGGGAACAGCAAGCCAGGGCTGGCTGAGGTGAGACTGCATGTCAGAGGTCCCTGCAGGAAGTTCCTTGAGTCTGCTGTCCTGCCCAGGAAGCTCGTACACAGATGTTCTAAGGGTAAGGCCAGAAATCGAAGCCTGTCTTGGTTTGTCACCTCGTGGGCTGTTTCCGAATGGACTGGGGTGGCTGCCACTCTCTTGCCCCCCTCCCAGTGTCGTTTCAGGTCATCTTCATCTGGTGGCTCATTGCCAAGTGGTCCAGGCTGGGGGCAGCCAGCCTGGGTATGAACCCTGCTCCTGGCTCCCCCCTTGGTTGCCTGGGAACCATGGGGACCTTATTTCATCTCTCTGAGGTGTATTTTGCTCATTCTTTCTGGAGCTATAGGGAGGGATCAGGGAGCTAACGTGTTCCTCGTGCTTGTCACGGGCCTCCTGGGAAGGTGCTTGATGGATCCGAGCTGCTGCTGCTTCTGCTGTTGGAGATTGTCAGGTGGGGCACCTGAGAGCAGAGAAACGGCTCTGGATGCAGCCAGTCTGGGCTTGCTGGTGGGCGGCGTGGGTTTGTGCCTAAAGCCTTAGGAGGGGATGGCAAGCAGATTAGCTGAGGTTCCCTGCTGGGGAGTGCTCCATACAGAAAAACCATTCACACCCATTGCTGAATTAATCACGCCCATTGCTGAGCCTCTGCTCGGCCAGACATGGCTCCAAGCACTTCATACATGTTAGCTCAGACACACAGTAGCCTGTGCAGTGGGTAGCAGTCACCTCCATTTTGTAGATAGGAATCTGTGGCACAGAAAGCTACCTAGGATGCCTGTATTGTGAAAGTCAGCAGAGCTGCCCTCTGAGCCAGGCACCGCTCCAGAGTTTTATGTGGCGCCCTCACCAGTCCTCACCACAACCAGGGAGCTCGACACAGCTGTGCTCCCCATTTCACCACTGAGGACATGAAGGCCCAGGGAGGTGATCGAATTTGCCCAAAGTGTTAATAGGTGACAGACATAAAATTTGAGCCCAAGTCTATCTGGGGTCAAGCCTGACTTTGTAAGACTGCCTCTTCTGCCTCTTACCAATGTCAAAACCACTGTTTCTGGGGTTTCTGTCATTTCAGTGATCTTTTTTGCTTTCTCTTCTTGACAGAGCTGGCACGAAGTAGGCCTCAGTTGTCCCAGAAATGACTGAATTAGCTCCATTTGATGCTTGCTTAGGAGATGGATGCAGCTGCCTCTTTCCACCCCCAAATGCCCATGGAGCCCTGGCCTTAGCCAGTCTCTTCTTTCGCCGGAGCCAGGGGGAAGGGATGAGGGTGGGAGGCATTCCCCACCCCCTGCCTTGGGGTCTGATTTATGGTTAATTTATTGAGTACTTGTTACATGCCATGTATAGTTTTGGGCACCAGGGAGTGGCGCACAGTCTAGTGGAGGGGGCAGAGAAGTAGCATTCGCCCTGTGAGAGCTCGGTGTGGGTGTGATGAGGAAGGGAACACATCTAGCTGGCTTTGGCAGGAGGGGTCTTGGAGAAAGCTCTTGAACTGAGGCATCAGGCAATGAATGTGAAAGCCCAAAGGAATGGACCAGGCAGGGGTACAGCACAGGAAAGGCCCTGAGGTACCTCCATATGGTAGTAACACTGAGAGCAGACCACTGTGGCTAGAGCGGAAGAGAGAGGAGGGTGGCAGGGCACAGTTCTGGCAGGCAGGTCTGGGGTCCCCCAGGGCCATACTTTTCAAACTGGTGTCCAAAGACCTGGGGGTGACTGTGGTGGGTATTGAGCATGTGATTTTAGGTAGTGTCTGCAAGTTGCCTACTTTTTTTTAGCTGTGTTTTCATTTAGATGATATTTTCAAAAAGTTAATATAGGCATGTCGTGAATCATCTGGATGATTTCTTTTAGCCAACTAGTGACAGTATTCACATAGCTGCCACTTCCATAGCTCTGACTAACAGGCTCAGGTGGGTCCTTGACTTTAGAGTTTGCCTGTGTAATTGCCTGTCTTCCAAAACGCTGGCCTCATCCCTGGCTGTGTGTGCAGCACATCTCATTGGGTCCCCATGATGACCCTGGGTTGTTAAGAAAAACCATATTTTGAAATAACATAAGCTTATCCTTGGTCAGGTTGATACTAAGGTCCCATTTCATAGATGAGGATGCAAAGGTTCAGAGGGACTCGTGCAGCCTGAAAGTGGTAGTCAGGATGTGAATCAACCAGGACTCTCTGGGCTGACTGGGGCAGGGCTCAGGAGTGACGGCATCGGGTGGGAGCTTCTCCTTGGCCCCTCAGGCCTGTGAGCATTGTGTTACTCACCTCACCCCTCCTGCCTTTAGGCTCTTGCTGCTTCATTAACAGAGGTTCTGTAGAGCTGCACCTCCAATCTGCTAGCCACTAGCCATGTGTGGCCATTTAAATTTTAAATAATAAAAATTAAATAAAAGTAAAAATTCAGCTCTTTAGTTGTACTGGCCACGGTAGCCACATTTACATCATTACAGAAAGTCCCATCAGTCAAATTGGCTGTCTCCTGCATCATCCGTGGTCTTGGGCATGTGCTTTGTTCTCTCTGGGTCTCAGTTTCCTCTTCTGAAGAAGGGGGTAGTAACAGCGTCCTACCTCGCAGGGCTGCCATCGGGGTTGGTATGTATCCAGGCCAGGCATGTTGTGAGCACTCGGGAAATGCTAGCCATGGGTGGAACCCTGCCTGTTTGCTGCCCAGGTGTCCTAGTGATGAGATGGGACTGAGGCCACCAGACCTGGCCTCAGCTCCTGGCTGGGGAAGCAGCAGGTGATGCTGTAGAGCAAAGCCTGTGAGGGAGGAACCCCTCAGCCAGGCTGGGGGGGCTGTGTGTGTGTGTGTGTGTGTGTGCGCGCGCGCGCGCGCATGTATGTGTTTGTCGGGGACAGCCCAGGTCTGCAGGGTGTCAGGGATGGTAAGGGCAGCCTGGCTGGGGGGTGGGAGGGCACCGTCTCTTGGGAGCAAGAGCAGAGGGAGGTAGAAGAGTCTCAGCTGGGACAGCGTGATCCAGTCATCTTGGCTGTGTCCTAGCTGCCTTAGGTACTAACTGAATCCTTCCCAGCCTCAGTTTTCCCATCTATAGAGTGTGGATCCTCATGGTCCCCAAGTGAGCCATGTGGTGGGAATGTCAGGCTAGTGTACAGAGCTGCTTCTGGGGATAGCTCCTGAGAAGGCTGTGATATAGCCCCTGCCTCCTTGGGGCCAGGGCTTTCATCTGCTGTGGCTACTCAAGCCAACAGTTCCCCACCTCTCTANTGGGGCCAGGGCTTTCATCTGCTGTGGCTACTCAAGCCAACAGTTCCCCAGAAATAGCCACAGCCCTTACAGTGGCTTCCCAGTCCCTGCCTGCCAGGCCCCAGCTTTCTCTGGAGCCATATGTGCCTCACTCCCCTCTACCACCTCCTGTGTCTCACACAGGCCATACCTTGGCACTGCTCTTCCTGGGCCTGGCACACTCTTCCCCACATCTCCATTTGGCTGCCTAGTCTCTTTCAGGTTTCTGGTCAGATTTCACCATCTCACTGAGCCCTCCTCTCATAACCCTGTACAAAATCTGAAACCCTTGCCCCTTTCCCAACATCTAGTCCTCCGCATGCTGCTTTTCTCCATAGCATTTGTCAACTTCTGATATACTGTATAATTTGCCTACTTACTTATCTTAATGCCTGTCCACCCTCCGTCCCCTATCCCCATCCCCACCCCTACCCCTGTAAGCTTCCCCAGGGCAGGGAGTTCTGTTTTGGTCACTGCTGCCTCATGGTGACTGGAGCAGTGCTGACACAGCATGGGTGCCATATTTGTAAAATAAACGAATGCAGGATTCTTTTTTTAATATATATTGATTTCAGAGAGAACAACAGGGAGAGAGAAAGAATTGAAACATCAATGATGAGAAAGCCGTCATTGATCAGCTGCCTCCTGCACACCCCCAACTGGGGATCGAGCCTGCAACCCGGGCATGTGCCCTGACTGGGAATCGAACTGTGATCTCCTGGATCCTAGGTCGATGCTCAGCCACTGAGCCATGCCCGGCTGGGCTGCAGGATTTTTTGTTTCGCCTTCACTTGGCAGAACTCTGAGCTCAAAAGCTGTGGTTCTGTTTGCCACCCTCACCTTGTGCTCTGGGCCTAGCCCTGTGCTGGGTGGGGCTAGGGACACAGGACCAGGACAGACCCCGTCCCTACTTTGTGGAGCTCTCAGTCCAGGGGGGGAGGACACTATTACTCAGATGTTTGTACAGGTGACTGAACACAGCAGAGGTGAATGCTGTGAGGGGATGGGAGGGCTGAGCTCTGAGAGTCTATGAATCAGTATAGGGCAGGGGACTGTTGGGAGGCTTCCCTAAGGAAACAAGGGTTTAGCAGGTAAAGATGGTGAGCAGTATGCCAGGTGGGGGGATTAGCATGTGCAAAGGCCCTGAGGTGAGAGAAAGCAAGGAGTGTTCATGGGACTGAGAGGGGGAAAGTGTGTGTGTGTGTGTGTGTGTGTGTGTGTGTGTGTGTGTGTGTGAGAGGTGGGGAAGCGCACTGATCCATGAGGATGGAGAACAGGCAGAGGCCACCTCAGGTGGGCCCTTGTAGTCTCCATGAAGGCCTTGGACACGGTCAGAATGTTTGTAGGGCCTCTCTGGCCGTGGCACGGTGCTCTCAGCATGTTTGGAGCCCATACTAGGCAGACTTGAATATTTGACATGATTTCTGGGGGTGCTGTAAGGCCCTGGGGTGGGTGAGGGGGCAGGTGGCGGG